TTTTTTTTTTTTAATCGTTGCAACATTTGTCGTCTCTCTCTGTCTCTACTTTTCGCTCATTTCTTTTTTTCTCGATAGACAGACATTACGCGATCCACAAGACAGATTGGATACTGAAATAAACATTCTACATATGAATAGTTTACGTGTGAGACGTGTGTAAAACGTGTTCTCCTCCATTTCCTTGGACACATTATGTACAGAATCGCCTAACTGCATAGATATATGTACAAGTATAATAATGTCTGTGTAAAATCCAGTGTCGTACTCTGTTTCCTTTTGTACAATATGTATAATAGTAGAGAGTATCATCAAAATAACTGGTCCAATCACATCTGTCTCTCGATTGTTAAACGATCCACTGGATTAATACAATAGGTCTAATACAGTATTAAATACTTCAAGTCCTACTGAAGACATGGTTATTCTACGGACCATGTATTCCTCCGTTCTCGTCAGTAAATAAATAAGTTGCTCGCTAGTCACAAATGCTGTACATGAAATTAATCGATCAGCCCGGTTAAACGAGTTAGTAGGCCGGCTCTTACCTGAGCTGCACTCGACGTCCGGCGATCCGCTGGTACCCGGTGGACATCTGCACACGAATATCGCACCGTCTCGTATGCACTCGGCACCCTTGCCGCAGCCGTTCGTGCGACAGTCGCCCAGGCTCTTGTCACCGCTACCTGTGCTCGCAATCATAAATCATATTCAACAAGACTGTACATTCTAAACGTGATCATCCTTTCCTCTTTGTAACCCGATGGCAATTATTTTATTATGAAAAATGCTGTTTCATTTATAACATCATTTTATAATTTTATTCCATGTCTTATTGAGTGATAGAATTTTTTCAGAAATGTACTCACAGGCATGCATCGGGTCACCGGATGGGTAATTTGGTGGACAGTAGCACTGGGGTTGGTTCTTGTAAATTCTGCAAGCAGCGTTCACGCCGCATCGCGTTTCCTTGCACAGTTCCCCACCGCAGATGCAAACCTGATGTGGGTCCCCTTGGCATCCTGGGTCGCAGGTGCATTCGAATCCGTTCAACGTTTCTCTGCACTTCGCGTTCACTCCGCAGGGTCTCCTTAGACACTCGTCGCCACCTAAGACATAAATGAAAAGCATTATTGCTGATTAAATTAATAGATTACAGATTTATAGAGAGATGTGCCGGAAGTCGAAAATCTAATACACATAATTACTTTTCCCAATCTAGATTTCATTTTTTAAATTGACAATACAAGTCTTTCATTTCGTAAAAGGTATATAAAAAAATGAATTCTTCTTACCTTTCTTACAGTTGATCTTAGGATTTCCATAATGTCCGGGTGGACAGGAGCACTGTGCCTTTCTGTTAACCACCCTGCATTGAGCGTTGAAGCCGCAGACTCCGTGTTGCAGGCAAGGATTGGTGCAGACACCATCCTCGCTGCAGTGTTTGTTGGCTTCGCAGTCGTCGTCCCGGTGACATTCCAATTGGTAACACTCTTGGCTAGGTTCGCCCTGGAATCCCTCGGGACACAGGCACACCGCTCTATGATTGGAAACGCGGCAGAGTGCGTTTGTCCCACAAGGTGATCCGTTTGCCGAGCATGGATCCTCGCAACGGTTGCTGATGCAGGATAACGCGGAAGGACAGTCGGAATGAGTGCGACAACCAATCAGACACAACCCTCCTTCGCAGATGTAACCCTGTTCCAAATAAATTATATATTATAATATACATATATACATCATATATTAATAAATTTTAAAAACATTTAAAAATTTTAATGTAACAGAATAATAAATTGTATTGCAATAAATAGTAAACAATTTTATGAACCATACCTTTGGACAATAATTATTGACGTCACATTTGATGCGACATTTTCCCAATTGGCAGAGCTCGCCACATGAACATTCATCCTGACTAGAACAGCTCTTCGTACAGAAACCAATTTCATCGCATTCGCAAGTACCATCGCAAGGGATCATAGATTTCGCGCAGTTAATTAAAGCGTTTCCGTAATAATTAGCAGGGCAACTGCACTGCGCTACGTGATTCGTTACGCGACACCCTGCACACTCTCCACAAGCGTTGCCACCCTCGCATGGATCTAAAAAAAGAAAATCAAATATATCAAGTAATTATAAAAGTAATTGCAATAGACGTTTGAAGATTATTTACTATGTTTCCTCCTCAAGTCATTATATGAAGAGGTAAAAATCATAGGTGTAAAATTCCAATGCAAATACTTTAGTCATTTTTTAAATTTTTGCTAATATACAAACGCTTCCTCATTATATAAAGATTATTTTGACGTATGATTGCAAGGTAAGCAAAATTAATTTACTCACTCCTGCACTTGTTGTTGACGCAAGACTCGTCGTTGGGGCAAGCATTATCGCTACGGCATCCGATGTCGCATAATCTATTCTGACAAATCTGATTGGCCACGCAGTGATCGTCGCTGTTGCATATAGCCTTGCAAATTCCACCGTCGCATCGTTCGTCGCTCAGGCAATTAGCGTCGCTGTAAAATGATTTATTATATTTTACGCTCGCGATTTCAATGTCAATCGGCTTACCTCCTGCACGTGGCGTAACAGGATTTCCCGAAGCATGTCTGACCAGTTGCGCATTCCTGATCGGTGGTGCAAGGCAGGAACGCCTGCTTACATCCAATTAGAGGATCGCCTAACAATGGAGTTGGACATACACACAATTTCTGATGGTTCACGACGGAGCACTTGGCGTTCACTCCGCAGACATCGGGAAGAGAACAAGGATCTGTGAAACATTTCCAAAAGTACAACATTTAATTATATGAGAGACAACTAAATGGGAATATTTATTATTACTAGACTGCGGATTTTATGTATTTTTAAAAAAAATTAGCACTCTATGTAATGAATAAAAATATAGAAAATGTCAAAAACAAAGTCCACATTGGAATACTTAAATGAAAGAAGAAACTGTTGTTTAAAATACACTTTTTAAATTGGTATTGGGAAAACATATGTTATTTTGCATAAAAGTTCACAGTTTAATTATTAGGAACTGTATACTTCGTTTAATTTACTGCTAATATGTTATTCATTTCTTTTTTACTTTTTAATTATTATTATATAAGAATCTTACCTTGGCACTGGTTATTTAAGCAAGCAGAATTCTCTTGGCACTCAACATCAGCTCTGCAACCAATCACGCAAACCAGTCCCTCGCAAATCTCGCCGCTCCTGCAATCTTCATCCCTCCTGCACAGCGACTTACAGACGCCCGTAGGATCACAACGCTCGTTGCTCAGACAATTCAAATCAGTGGAGCACACAGGTGTGCAGAATCCTCTGATGCAAGCAGTGCCTGTTGTACAGTCTCTATTCGCTTGGCACACTGGTCCTGGCGATCTTAAACAAGCGACCTTGGCCGTCGGGTTCGGTATGAAACCAGCGGGACACGAACAAGTGGCCCGTTGGTTAACTACAGTACACTTGGCGTTCGGTCCGCAGGGGGTGGCTTCGCAAGGATTGATGCACTTGTTCGTGATGCAACCCTCGTTCGCGTTGCAGTCTTCGTCCGCGCGGCAACCGAACGTGCACATATTGTTCAAACAGATGTGGCCAAGGAAACAGTCGTTGTCGAGTCTGCAAGTCAGTAGACAGTTGCCGCGGACGCATTTCTCGTTGAACGCGCACTCGTTGTCGCTGGAGCAGATCGGGAGGCACACGTTGTCTCGACAGGTGTTTCCGTCGTTGCAGTCGGTCGTGTCTCTGCAGGACACTGGCACTAGAAGAATAAATTATTAGAAGATCGAAGGATAGCTTATTTTGTAAAAATTTTATATTTATACAGTAAAGAGCGAAACTAAACTAATACTATTTAAAACTGAATAATTTTTTTAAAATCGATATATAAAACCCGAGATTTTTTTAATAGTTAAGTGAATTAATTTGCTAAATGGAATGCAAAGAAAATTTCGAAAAAGAATTGAC